AGAAAGGCAGATAGATTCATGAAGGACAGTAACTGAAAAGAAGCTACAGACTCAGTGCTTATTCACAGCAACAGTGCAAGACAACAGAACCAGCCTGCAAGGGAGTCGATTAATGAAACCTGGAGGAGATAGTGTTAGACAAAAACAGGTAACAAGGCAGTGGCCTCCAGAGTCTAGCACTGTGGCTTACCACAGTGGTTCATGACAGCGTTCCCATCATCTTCCATTACACAGCACCACGTATTAGTTTCTTAACTACAGAGATCTGAGGAAGCAGTTCAAGAAGCCCTGTGGCCCTGAGGTAGGAACCTTGTTACCTACCTACACAAACCCCAAAGATATCACTGAGGCCATGAGAAAGGCTGGAAAAGGTTACTACATAAGAGGAAAGGCTATGTAAGTGTTACAGCTGGAGAAACCCAAAACATCATCTGTGTCACCAGTGCCACTGGTTCTGCTTCAAGAAAAGGATTTCTAAGAGATACAAAGTCAAAGAACACCTGACTCAGAGCAGAGGAGCTGCTGTTAGGCATCCACTTTACTTAAATCTTCCAGCTCTGACGGTAAAATATCCTGTTAGCCAAAAATTTAGCAGGAGGATTGTCAATGTAATATCAGAGAATCAGCAAACGTTTAAAAAAATGGAACAACAATAGTTGCCATGCAGTGCCTTTACTTACACCAACTGCTTTAGAAAAGCAGTTACATTAAAAGAATCTCCTTTATTTTTCTTGCTCGAAGTAATAACGGAAAAATTCAAAGCCTGCCAAACACTTCTACTTGTGAGCAACTTTAATCCTGTGAGTAGTTCTACTGAAGAAAACAGAACTACTCATGACAGTAAGTACTTGTCATTCTTCCAGCACTAAATGACAGACACAGAATATACTTAAGGAAGTGATATCCTGCACAGGAATCAGCTGACATCTCATGCACCTAACAGACTTTGTAAGTGGGAGCAAAGAACTACTCGACACACAGAGTAATCACAAAGAGAGAGAAGCATTTTCCTTGTCTCTGATTATTTCTGCTGCAGCATCATTCTATTACTAAGAACAGGTAAAAAAGTCTTGAGGCAGAAATACGATTTAAAGGATGCCTCTAAGAGATCAAAAATGGAATACTTAAATATACATTGCATCCATTTTTTTCAGTCTTAAAGTGATCAGGTTAAACTGAAAAAAACGATTTTGAAAGGAAGTCTCAATTTCTTCCCACAACCTCATGCAGACATTTCAACAACTGTTTGCTACTTGATAGTACGTGGCTTGCACCATATGGTCTTACCACAGAAAAAAGCTTGAGGCTTTGGCTCTGCAGTTAGACATATGTAGAGATGTCAAGGATAAAGCCTGAAGAATTGAATTGCCTTTGAATAGAACCAAATGGTTGAAGGCATACCACAGCTTGGGTTTATTTAAGGGCTTGAAATTTATTGGGAAATGTAAGTTTCAAAATACTTCTGCATGTTCTTTATTCAGGTTTCCCCAAAAAATTCTCATGCTTTGATACAACAGACATTTTTTTAAATTGGTATGTTTGTGCACAACTGTCGAGTGTAGCCCAATTCAATGGGTGCCAGAACGGACAACCCACTACAAAATCCAACTGGAGTTGGTAAAAATGCTGCTCTGTCCGTGGGGGAGGCAAAGGTTTGGCCTTGGGTAACTGATACTATCAATTCTCTCCTGCAATAGCTTCCTCCTATGTCCTTATTCATAAGCCTCCTTTGAAATGACATTTCCAGCCTTGTTGTGTTATTCTATACAGCAGACAATTTACATGGGAGAAAAATCTGCCTCGTTCAAAGCTGCTTTCCAGATGTGAAGGACCAGCTCCCCACAGCAACCTATCACTGTTCAAGGAACAAAAGCAAGACTTCTATTTCTCAACTAAACATAATCTTCAGTGAAAAATCACATATTTGTTTGTGTGGTTAATGTCATAAAACTAAATTAAGACAACAGGGTTCTCAGAATCAGGAAGTCTTCGCATTCTTCTGACAGATTCTGATTTGAATTCAGAATGTGGCTTCATACAGGAAAATCATACTTGCAGTTTTCTTTGTAAACATTCTTAGCTCTGTTGTAATAACTGTGGTAATGTGCATTGAATGCAGAAAATACATTTTATAATTTCTTATTCACTCAGCTGCTAAAACACCAAATGATCTACAAGACATATGCACATGCTGGAGTTGCTTCATTTGTTATAATGTATAATTTCTCAAGAACAGCTTTAGATGATCTGCACTGCTGAATCCCAAAAATGCAATCTGCTTTGTCCTTATTTAAGGAGTGCATCTGAGAATACACGTGAATTATTTGTAAATATGACTGACTGAATTTTTTTATTTTTAGCACAACATTTGGGCTGTGTCTTGTGGCAAGTTTATGCATCGGTGATGTACAATATTAAAGTCATTAAAACAGCATCTGAAGCTTTTTTTCATGAACACAAACCAAAGTCAATATCCCACCAATTAAATAATGCATTTCATAATTATAGCAAATATTTAATTTTCAAACAAATATCCTTTTGCTCTTTCACAATCAACAGCAGCAGTTAACATGATGCTTCACAATTAATACGGACCCAGGAGAAAACCCCACACAATCAGTACTTTTCATCTACATATTTATGAGATGTTATCAATTATTCATGTTATATTTACTACTGGGAGTGGTGAATATGACAATCATCCCTGCCGGAGAACCAGTCAGTTCTCTTTAAAATGTTGCAAGCAGCATAATTCAATTCTAGAACTGTTATATAGAGATTAAGGGACATTTTTAGGACCTGAATGTTCTGCATGAAACTATTGTTCTTAATTAACTGAACCACAATTTTCCTAATTGATCAACCCCCACACTTCTTCAGAAACCTAGACTTACAGCCACAGTGTGAATCACCCTGCAATTCCCAAGAGATAACAAATCTGACTGAAACCTCTCTCTGATGCAGTAGTTACCTAGCAGCAAAACCTAGCAACCCTGTAGTAGATTAATCCCAGAGTGATCATCATAAAGTAATATCTAAAAGATATTTAAGTATGCCATCCAAAGGTACATAAAAATGGAGCACAAAAATGGTTAGGCTTCTACTGTTCAGCTGTACAAAATAGAAAAGACTACCTAACAGCATGACATGCTATTTATTTATTGTTCAGTGAGGCCTCATTTGCTCAGCTCTCCCAACAAAGACAGAAAGAACCCAGATCTACAAAGTGATGTGCAAAACATTTAGATGCAACTAAGATATTCAAACCCCTTCCTTATCTACAATTTAATGTTCGAGCAATGAAATGCCTTAGTCCCTACAGCTAGTGGGTAAGTGCAGAATTCCTCATGTACAGGTTCTGCTTAGTTGCTTGGAATTGAAGTCCTAGCAGAGTACTCAAACTAAACACTTCCTCCCGTTTTGCTTTCTATGTTGTAGAAGAGTTTTCAGATCACCTTAGAGTGACCAGGACACACACAGAAGACAGCCAGACATAAGTCCTCCTTGTTCTACGTTGTCCATCTGCATCTTAACCAATAATATGCACATCCCTCACCTGAGAGGAAGGGGATTACTCTCAAGGACTGGTACTATGGTGCCAGAAGGAGAGAACATTAGTCATAATGTAGTACCTTCCCTGAGGGATGGGATGTCCTTGCTCCAAAACATGGAATAAAAAAACCCTGGAACTAGGTTTCTCACCTCCTTAGTAAATCCCTGTCACACTCCCTGTAACATCTCTTACTAGCTCTCTGGGGTGGTTTCCCACACAGCTTACTGGGAACCTACATGTATGGCTGAAGACTCCACCAGGTGACCTGCAATTAAAACATCTGTCCTGGCAACACTCTGCAAAGTTCCACTGCAAATGTAGCCTAAAGTGTTTAACTCCTCTCTGAGCCTTCACTTTGTTTGTTTAGCATGGTCCCACTCCACAGAGCGCTGTGTATACACTTCTGAAGGTAGGCTTGGGCCTGGGGAAGCTTTTTGAACCACCAGTCAGGCACAACAGACCTAGAATCTTTGGGTGTGATCTACCATCCAGAGGTGAGAATTGTGCAATATAAGGAGAACCCACATCTTCACTGAAACTATTTTTCCCTCACACAAAACATTAGGCTTTTCAAATGCATTTGTACTTGTGCTCTGAACAGTGTGGTCTTCTGTTTAAAAATGATTTGGCATCCTTGGGTAAGATGACAAATTAACAGCACTGAAAAGCTGTAGTCTTCCTTTGTTAAGAGAATAGGTAAGAAAGCATGAGCTGAAGTTCTAACTTTGCTTTAATTACACAGAGCAAGAAAACCTATGCTCCAGTGAGAATGGGGAAAGGTAATTCAACCCTTGCATCAGTCAAGTTATCAGCTTTCCTCTGGGACTACTGAAAGGAGTAACAGGGGTGTGGACACTGAAGAGTAAAACTGAGTCAGATTCTTGAACTGCCATCTGTTAGTAACAGTCATCACCAAGCTGTAAGATACAACTGGACCAGGAAAACTGATAGCAAAGAGTTCTGGTATACATCCCTGAGCTGCCAAGTCATACATTTTGCTGTAAAAAAAAATACAAAATGGACTATGACAGTGCTTTTAAGAGAATGGTTTGGACACAGTGAAAAATAAGAAGCCAAAAAGAAAATAAATACTCTTGTGGTTCTTGTCCTTCAATTCTAACAGGAGCTTTATACTTGCCATGAGAGCTACCTGCGTGCAGCCCACATACACTCTGGCCAACCACATTCTGAAACCCATATGCTGACAGAAATGCCTTCTGAATTCATCTGCCAGTGAGGGATTACAAGCAATAATGCTGCAAGACTGGCTTTTGCTTCCAAGTGCTAAATACTGAACTATTATAACACTGAATTTATTTTTTTCATGTCCAGCTATACCCACAACAGCAACTCAGTTATAGTTAGTTTTGACTACAATCAGCAATTGATTTTAAGGACTTCTGTGAACACAACTGAGTCACTAACACCTTCAGATAGTACTGCTTACCTTAAATCTTTCTGAGACCCCTTCAGTGATGCTGATTGTGAATTCAGCTATTTTTGGAGTACGGAATTTTCCTTTCTTGCGATCAGGTTCATATTCTGTTTTCGTTTTGACCACAACCTTTAAAAAAAAAAAAATCAAAAAGCTGTCAGCTGAAACTAGCCACAGGAATCTTATTTATTTGTTAACTCTTCTTTTCCCTGCCTACAAGTGCATCTAGCAGAGTACTTTTTTTTTCCCCCCACTTTGTGTAATTCTTCTTTAGAAGCTGCAAGTTGTTAGTTATTTTTACTGTCATAGCAATCAACAAAATTATCTCTCAAAGTGGTTTTGATGGACCTACAGGAAGACTTATTATGCAACAGTTTCACAAACGTTCAATTTTTTCAGCTGTGGTGGTACCAAGCTGCTACACCAGGGAAAAGATCTACGTAGCTCAAATCCAAATCATGAAGCTTCCCAATTGGCATAGTTTGAAAATGGCCACCTCCATTTGCTTCAGGAGATCCCATTAATAGGACTTCAAACTGGAGACCAATAGGGTGAGACTATTATTGAAGAGATCCCACAGAAATCAAGCAGATAATGATGCCGACAGTAGCCATGTTCTTTGATGGCAGGATTTTGAGTTTAAAAGTGAAATGACCCATATGGTTGCTATTCACTAAGTGCTAGACTGTAGCTCTTCACACTCTTATTTTTAACATCGAACTTTTAAATTATCAGCTACAAGCAGCAAGGTGCACACAAACCCTGGTGTTAATGAGATTTCTTGAAACCCAAGGCTCTTTAACTTCAGCTTATTCCTTGCTATGAGCTTTTGTCCCAAACTACACAATTTAGCATTTTACCTGTATTCCTAAAATATTCATTACGTCAGTCATATCTCTTGTGCTCTCCTAGGCATTCTAATTGTACAGTATTTTCACATACCTAACCTATTTGCCTCATTTTTGTCTTCTATAATTTTTCAGGATCTTTTTCTAATTATCACTTTCCAGACAGGATTCAGTTTATCATACTGACAGTGCTATTAAGTTTTGCTCAATTTTCTCTGTTGTTCCAAAGAATAAGTATCTAGAACCTTTTAGATTTTTAGAACCAGATTCTACCTTTGGAGCAGCCTGTGGTATCAATAGCCACTACTTTACTCTGAAATTAAGACTGTGACACTTGCAGGTAGCCAGGCACTGAAATGAAAGTCTGGGGTTCCCCCCTCCTCACTTCCTTGAAATACCCTCTACAATGGGTAACTGTACCTAGACTCAGTACCACAAAGCTTATTAGACACTTTTACAGCATTACACATATATGTGCATGACATAGGTTCAGAAACTACTTTACCTATTTTCAGCTATAATTAATAAAATAATTATTAACTATTTAATTTTACAACTGCCCCACAGCATCACGGAGATAAACTGCCTGAAGATTTTTGGAATGCTTTTTAACATTTTACTTCCTTTCCTCCCCCCTTTATGTTGCATAATCTCAGGCAACTCAAATCACATCCAGCTGACACTGAATGTACAGTTCTATCTGCTTGGTTATGTAATGTCTTCTTTTGTTTGACATACCTAAATATTAATTTAAATCAGTTCATCCCTTTAATTCAGAAGCTGTCAAAATCATCAAATTCTTAGCACTGTAGTCACTACTGTTCAAGAAGTTATGCTTCACTGCCATACCAGAGCCTTCTAAGTGAATAAGCAGCACAGATGTATGAAGTATGTACTCCTATTCATTATACATGAGTGTCTTTGTACTTCAGAATTTGATCCATGTGTCAGTCTTGACTTAATACTGTTTCTTTCTTTCACATCAGTTGCTCTACTATTGCCTGTGAGTCTGCAGCAACCAGTAAAGACACACTGGCACAACTGACCAGATTAGATACAGAAAGAAACCAGTAGGACCAATAAATACATGTTATTATTTTTCTCCTTTATGTTTGCAAAAGGAAAGGAAAGGAAAGCTGATATACAAACAGACTGTGGAAAGAGTAGAAAGGACCATCAAATACTCCTTTAATTAAGCTTCTAGCCTAGTTGTACATTTGCTTTCCTTCATGGCAAATGCAGTGAAGGTGGGAGGAGTTCCACTCCACTCTAATGGGAGCAATCAGGCTGGCACAAACCTCCTGGGTTCACTACAGAGGCTCTGCTCAGGTTAAACCTATTACCATACAGGTCCCTAGCTCAGACTCCTGCTTAGCAGTGCAGTAACATAACAAATTCCTTTGGATGTTGGCTGCTGGTAATCGGTTATATCCAGTCACCAGTTGGCAGGCGTATCTGACACAGTAAGACTTAACTTATTTTAAAGCCTCAGGGTGCAATTTTGTCCTCAGTTACAAGATTTACACCCATGTAACTGAGGGCAGAAAATGGACCCTCAGGCTCTCTAACAGCTGTTATAGTTTATTGCATTTATGCCTGCCAAATGGTCACCACACACAACACAGAATGATGTTGATAGCAATTATAATGGGGGTCACAAATTTATTTGTATTGCCTACAAGCAACACTCTACCGAGGCAAATTTCACAAGCTAAAATTCTTTACCCCAAGATAAGATTACATGATTTTTTTTGAGCTATGAGGAATGTACAGCTGTCGGTTTATCTAGAAGTAGAACTGAGCTCGCGGAAGACAGAATGCCAAAAATAAAAGTCAGCATTAAGGGATTCCTGGCCACTTCCCTGTTAAATTTTGTAGTTTTCAAAAACCAGGAAGCTTTTTTGCCAGATGCATGTGTGAGAAATGTGCAAGTATCCTGCTAAACTAGGATACTGAAAACAGGATACTGAAATACATGAAAAAGCATCTTACTGCTTTATGTAGTTACCTGTAGTAACACTTAATAAATTCTTTGTTGCAATGAGAAAAAACGTATTTATAGGCAATCACATCACCTTCCTAAATCCTTAAAATTAAATCCTTAGCAATCGAGCCATGTAATGAGGAATGCAGGATGAACACCTCCTTTCCAACCTGTAAGCAGCACCTTGGACTGTCCCCTCCCAGCTACAGAGCCTCTGAATCACCTATTCGGAGGGTTTTGAACCAAGTTGCCAAGGAGAAAACTCAACCACATTTTCTCAGCTCATTATTTCATCTTGTTTGGGGCTAGCATAAATTCCCTACTGATGCACAGAAGGAACATGTTAGTTCTTTCTCTCTGTGGCCAGTCTGCCCATGCACATCTTGCAGAGTAATGAAGCAGGGCTTTATCCCTCCATCAGAGGGGTTTTTTCTAGACAGAGAAAATTCATGTCATTCACAGAGAATACACAGTGCCTTCCAGATACAAAAAAATAAAGATACAGAATGGGAAGGGCTATGACAATGTAGCATAGAGAAGCTTGCATTTGTACATTTATGTATTTCATACATCAGCACTGAAATCTATATATGATTATTGCTAACATTTCCCACTACTTTATAATGTAAATCATTGCTACTGGGTTTTTATTAGTTTAACTGTTTTGGGTTTTTTTTGCCTAGAGGGAATTAAGACTCCTTAAAACACCCTGTATTACGGGACATTTTTAAGCAGCTAGTTACATGTAAGCTATTCTTTTGTTGTTTGCCTGAGATTTGGGTGTGATTCTCCAGGGTGGAAATTAAAGCCTACTGTACCTTATCAGGAGGTGGGAACTGGAGCTGATTGACATCCAAGGGTGTGATCAGGGGGATGGTATCAAAACCATCCTCCAAAAGGGGCTGCTTTGTGCTCTTCTCGCTGAAATTATTCCCTAGTTTCACCATTCTTCCAGGATAGAGGGATTTTCTGCGGGCACACACAGGCACACACAGACAGAAATGCAAAATGTCAGAAACTCGGGAAGCACCAGACCTTTCCCCAGCCCCCAGGGAACACGAAATACCCTATAGACAAAAAAAAAAAAAAAATAAAAATTACGCGTTGATCGCTGTGACTCCGTTACATTACAGCGTTTTGGGAAGTAAGAACGACAGCCAGCACTTTTATTGTTTAAGTTTAAAAAAAAAACAAAAAAACAAAAAAACACATAAAAACCCACAAACCAAACCACACAAAAAATATCCAAAAGCAGCCCCAAATCCTCGGCACGTTAGCCCCTGATCCGAGCGATGACCTCCCGCACGGCCCCGCTGCGGCATCGCCCCTCAGCCCGCGGGAGCGGGAGGGCTCCGGCCCCCGCCCCGGCCCCGCCGCATCCCCCCGCCCGGCCCCGGCCCCCCTCGCTGCCGGCGCCCCAGAGCGGGGCCGTGCCCTGCGGGACCCCGCGCCCTTCTCCCGCCAAGCCCTCCTCTCGCGGGGGGCAGGGGCAGCGGCCCCCCCGCTCGGGCGGCGCCGCCGCCACTCACCGCCGCGGCTCCCGGCCCTTCCTCGGGGGGCGGCGAGGCGTCGTTCCGCCGCGGCCCGCGCAGCAATGGCGGAGCAAGGTGGGTGCGTGTGGCGGGGGATGGTGGTGAGGGGCGGGGGGGGGGGGGGGGGGGGGGGGCGGTGAGGCGGAGGCTCTCCCTCCGCGGGGCGACTCTGGGCGGCCGCAGCGCCGGGGCCGTGACGCAGCCGCCGCCTGGCTGAGGGCAGCTCTGGAGCAGCAGCAGCACAAAGGGGCCCCGCGGGGATGAGGCGGGCGGGCGGCTCCCCCCAGCCGGCTACTGGCGCAGCGGCGGCAGGTGGAGGAGGAGGCGGGGGGACGGGACGGGACGCGCCGCCCCCCGCGCCCCTCCCCTGGCACGGCGCGGCGCGGGGGGCGGCGGCTGCCCGGGGCCTGCGCTAACGGCCCCCGGGGCGCGTGGGCGCCGCCGCCGCCGCCCTGCCCCTCACGGCGGTCCCTGGCGAGGGGGCTCCCGGCCCGGCCGCCCCCGGGGAGCCCCGCCGCGGGGACTGCGCTAATTAAGTGGTGGTGGAGAGGCGGGGGCCTGGCCTCGCCTTCCCCGCCGGCGGGGAGAACCGAGGGGGTTTAGCGCGTCTGCTTTTTTTTTTTTTTTTTTTTTTTTTTTTTTTTTTTTTTTTTTTTTCCCCCTCTCTCTCTCCTTGTCGTTCCTGCAGGGAAAGGACGAGCGTGCTTGTCAGGACGGTGAGACCGAGTTTCCTCTCTGCAAAGGGGGGCCGGAAAAAATGTGAATATTGGAACCGGCGCTCGCGTCACTTCAAGGTAAATGCGTATTGCAGAGCTTTGCAGCCCGAGAGAGGACATCTTATGATCTCATCTGTCTCAAAAAAAAAAAAAAAAAAAAAAAAGTGATTCATATTCACTGTGCGGTCTCCTAGAACCCCAAGGCAACCAGCACGCTCATTTTGTAGTCTCGCAGGTGCGTTGCTTTTCAGCGTGTGGAGGCAAAACCACTGTGGGCGATGCAACAAGTGACTTGGATGGTAGGCAGCTCTTGAGAGGCAGAGATGGGTGCTCAGCCTGGAGCCACTTTTATGCTTCAGTACCAACCTGCCACTTTTCATAGATGATAGCATGAACAGCCCCTCTTTTCCCTTCTGTGCTTCAAGCAAGCACAAATTATAGGCAAAATAGTGTATTAAAAAATAGATTGTGGAACTTGAAAGCGACTGCAATTCTTGTTTCAAATTTTCTTGCTCTCAGAGCACCACTGTGTCTGTTCTCCCATTTGGACAAGATTTTCCATCGTATCACAAGGGGCAGAGACTGAAGACTTAGTTGTGCTTGGAATTCAGCTGTCAGTCCGCAGAAATATTTAATGCAAATCTAACTGCAGAGAAAAGTCAGACCATGCTGATCACAGCTTCTCTTGTCCCATGAACTGATAAGTTACTGACATGGCTTTCCTGATTTGCATTTAAAAGCACTGGACACTGGTCATCAGTGGCTGAATTTGGACTAATTCTAAAATGGGCAAGGTTGTGATCTGTGTAGATAAATAATACCAGAGATATTTCAGCAGTGAGTCCTTCCACCTACAAGTCAGAATTTCATGATTTTAATGGGAATTTAGGCTTTTCTATGCAGAGCATAGCAAAACTGAGGGTTGGTTTGGATTTTTTTTTTTCAAATCTCAAACCCTTTTGTGAGTGTTGTTTTAATCTAAGAATTTTATTTAGTCTGAAAATCATGTTAGCCATCTATATCTTTTTTTTTGCTCTTGTGCAAGTTCTTAAGTGGGTGTTAAGAGAGCAAATGAAACCTGAGTTCAATTACAGTCACTGGGAGAAAGTCCTGTTGACTTCATTGGAGTCATGATTTCACCCACCTCACGTAGGAGAATCTCAGCAAATCTGGTGCAGAGTTAATGAAAACAATCTACTGAAGGCTGTTTAACATCCTATTGCTGTGAAAATTAATATGAATCTCACAGTTTAAAATTATAAATGATAATTTTTTTTGGTCTCCTAAAGAAAGATGCTCTGGTTCCGATGATCTCTTTTCATTTTTTCTCTTTGGCAAATAACTGATCTGTTGTTTTTAGTCCTTTCTTTCTTAGAGGGCCCAGAACAATGGATTTTCCTTTGTTGGCTTTGTTTTTTTGTCATCAACATCATTGATAATGCTAGTGTCATCAGCACAGTTCTGGGAAGTACAACTTAATTAGTTAAACTGCTGGCCGGATAACTATCTTTGCAGCAGCCAAATAAACATACTAGAAGCTGAGGATGATCAATAGGCTAATACTTACTTTTAAAACATTCTCAATGGAATAGGTTACTTCAAATATAGAACAGAATCCTCCGAAACAAACACAAAACATTTTCAAGGTAGAAATTGACTGTTCTGCCTCTCAATTACTGAGCAAGCAGTTCTGATGTTGAAGATCATACCAAATATAGAAGAGGAGGACTCTGAAATAGTGAATTTACCTTTGAGCATTATAAGGGCAGCAGCATTTATATACCTCTCGATGCCTTATTTTTGCAGCCTTGCGTGTTCTGAGCATCTTGACCCATATGTCTGGCAGATACGGCTGGCATTCAGTAATTAGCTCTCAATACATACTGATTTCTTATGTGGTTTGTTCCAGTTGTCCAGTCCAAAATATATTCCATCTCTCTTTTTCCAAGGTCAATGGTCTGTAATGTAAGAGGCCCAGATTCCCTTCCGAGCCGTGGCATAAAGCAAGTCATGTGTCTGACGGATGTATCACGTTGTCTGTCTCATTTATTTTTCCCATCAGTGTTCTGTTCTGAGTAAATAAAGTGTAAAATAAGCTTGTCTTACTTGAGTAACATTTCATAAATCATACTTGGATGTGTTAAGCAGAAAAAATACGTTACTCATTTTATATAGAAAATTGGACCTGTAAGTGGAAATGAAGGGGTGTCTCAAAAACAAGCAGCACTTTAATTATTTAATTTTGGCAATACCCTTGTCTTACAAGCAAGTGTTCTTGAACAGAACAGATGAATAACCCACGGATGGATGAGTGTAATCCATTCATTTGTGTGTGAAGCCAAAGTCATTCAGAATTCAAATGACATCAAAAATCCAAGCAATGATCAGAAGTGTATTTGACAGTATACTACAGGAAGCCAAAATAACACAGCAAATGGTTTAACAAATGGACTGACGAGGTCCTTTCATCTCCATCTTCCCTGATTTTATATTTGAGCCCTTCTGTTGGCTGAAGCTGGTCAAAACCAACGGGCAATTGTGTATTAAGTGTGTGCATGAGGAAGTACCAGTATCAGATTAAGATGAACGGATGTAAATTCCCCAGTTGACTGGCGAGTCATTTTTTTCAGTTGTTGGAGCATATTCACAGGGTAGTCTGTTTTAGCGTCCCTTGCAGAGAAAAGGAGAATTTTGGATATCCTTTCTATGATGTAAATTATTACTCTCTTTGGCACTGTGCATTTCTTCAGTGGTAATCTGCCTTTTATGAATTTATACTAACTAGGCATAGACTTATCCAGTTCTCTAGTTTTACAGAAAAATCCTTACGTAGCATTGTGTTAATCAACTAGATACAGCACTGTTGTCACTGTGTACTACTTGGCTTACTGTTTTTCATTTTCAGTGCATTTGACCCCATATACTATGATGTAACGGAAAAAATATATGTGTGTGTGCATGTGCATATACATACACACACAAATATCTGTGACTAATAAGTGTCTTTATTTGCCAGCTATGTAAAATGAGCAGCTAAGGGGATTTAATTTCTGATATCAAATAACCAACTATGTAATTTGCTACTGATGGTTTCAGAAGAAAGAGTGAGATAACTTACTAAGAAAAATGGTGTGCTTCCTAGTCAGAAGTCGCTGCCTTAAAGATGCAAAAAGTTATATATTAAATAATATTTGAAATGTGTCTTCAAAACTAGCACACCTTTTTCCTCAAGAGCTTCTGCTGTAGGTCATTTTCCTATGGTTATTCAGGGGCTTGTAAATTTTGGGAAAGAACTGTCCTTCTCTGTACCTTCTACAGAGTAACTCAGCAAGTTCCAGGTGCTTAACAAATAACGCACATCCTTGCTGAGGCACTTAAGTGTCATGGCCAGCAATCTTTATCTAATGTTAGTGATCTCTGAGGAAACACGATCGCTCCTTGTGGGTTTTGACTGGTATGTAGGCAACAGAAAGAGCAGCCAGTGCACAGAATTGATGACCTAGCAGCTAGTCTCATTAAGTCAGATTGTACCCTGATTTACTTACTCTGAAATCTTAATGGTCTCAGTGAGGTTAGAATTCACTGTGTGTACCATCAGCCTAACTATGAAAGCAGAAAATTTGCACTACCATCGAGCAGATGTAGTTCTTCCTAATGAACTAACTAATGGAGAAGAAAAAAAAAAAAAAAAAAAAAAGAGGTAATGCCAAGCTTGTGTCTGCTGGCACTTGGTCCAGGAAATGGTACAGAAGTCTGTCTTAAATTACAGTAAGCCTGTGTCTCACAAAAGCTGCAGAAAGACCAATTGCACGGGACAGCCTGGGCTTTGACCTAAACCGAGAACACATGGCAAGTCCTCATTTTGTAGCAGAAGTACAAAGAATAAAGTCACACACTCCCTACATATGGAAATGAAGGAAATACTGTAAACATGTGCCATAGGGCTGGGCTTCTGATTCATCACAGGCGAAAGCTCTAGAAATCACAGGGTTCTTCCTTGCAAAATACTTTTTCTAAAAATGAGGACAAAAATTGTGACCATTAGCCTATTATATGTGATTTGATTATGCTTTATTCAGGTTGGCCACGTCCTTTTCTTTGTAGGTTGTAGTTTATTGACACAATCAACTGAAATGGCTCTTCTGGAGCCATTACAATTTGTTGTGTTAGTGCAGCTGAAAACACTTCAACATACCACGTGTCACGCTTTGTCAAGTTAACAGTTGATGTTTCCAAATCAGGATTAGGAACAGTGCTGATGCAGTGCAATGCATCAATTGCTTGTGCAACATAAGCATTCATGAAAAGAGACAAACTCTGCTGGAGTAAAGAAGCACAACCTATTGTTGTTTGTCAGGTGTCCCAGCAGTTTATTTACCCTAAAGCATCAAGTGGTCCATCCCTTCAGTCATTGAGGTTACTTACAAATACCAAAGGGAGAAGAGCAGTCTTGCATAAATAATTGTGAACCACTAGTCCATTTTAATAAGCCAATAATCTTCAGAAATTATATTAAACTCTTAGTCAGCAATAAGGAAACACAGATTAAGTGATGTACCAAAGGAGATGCAAGAAATGCATGGCTACTAGCCCATGATACAACCAGGAGTTTACCTCATCAGATACACTAAGGTGTATATAGCCCCTTTAGTCCCTCTCTCTGACCGGTAAATCCACACTGGGACAGCAATGAAGCTAAAACTGAAGTTGTTTAAGATTTTATTCTCTGATCTGTGTATGTGATAGGCTTGTGTGTGAACAACTCTAGAATTGTTATATTTGTGCTGAAATGGATAATGGATAAATGAATAGTGAAATTTTGTATGAACAAAAGTGACATTTTGTTGATGACACAAAACAACAATATGAAAAAAAATGTGATTTTCAGTTACTGCCAGATTTTCAGAACTGCCAAATGGAAATAAAGGTATTGATATTGAAGAATGCTTATCTTTTATTTCTAAAATCACTGAAATGGAGGAGATGATTGAATTCTTCTTTGGGTCATTGGAAAGCTAGGAAATCCTTTAAAACATCGAACAATTATTCAAGCTTAGCTTCCTAATGTTAATCATCCTGATTTCGTATGCAGACATCTAAATAAGGTTTTTCAGAAGGAAAATAGTCCACACATTGGAATAACACCGAGAGGAAGTTCTAAGCACTCAGATTCTGTCCTGGTTTTGGCTGGGATCGAGTTAATTTTTCTTCTTAGTAGCTAGAACGGTGCTGTGTTTTGGATTCAGTATGGGATTTGGTACAAGAAGAATGCTGATAACACACTGATATTTTCAGCTGTTGCTGAGAGATCAAGAACTCTCCAACTCCCCATGTCCTGCCCGGGCACAGGTGGCACGAGAAGCTGGGAGGGAGCACGGCCAGAGCTCCGGACCCAAACTGGCCAGTAAAATGTTCCACACCATGTAACGTCATGCTCAGTATACAGAGGAGGGGTGGCCAGGAAGGAGGGGGTTCTCTTTTGCTTCCAAGATTGCGGTTTTGGGATCTTGGTATTTAGAGATCACTGGATGGGAACAGGCTGGGTATCCATTGGCAGGTGGTGAGCAATCGCATTGTGTGTTGCCTATTTGTACTTTCTGTTACTGTTTTATGTTATTGCAATTAATAAACTGGTTTTATCTCAACCTATCAGTCTCCTTTACCTGTCCAATTCCCTCCCCCATGCCCTGAGCAGGGGAAGGTGAGCAAGCGGCTGTGTGGTGTTTGGCTGCCAACCGGGTTTAAACCATGACAGATTCTCAAGAGCAGCTTTTTTCAAGCAGTGAAGCAAACACCAGTGATATACCCCCGTAAAATACAGCGCAGTAAAAACCAGAAAGATTGCTCTGAGTGTCAGTACTCTGAGCTTGCAAATGCAGCAGGAGGGAGAAATTGTGCTACAAGGCAGATGACGTGTGGTACCACTTCACACTGTCTGCAGACCTGCAGATTCATCTCAGCGAGAAGATGCCAAAATACAGCGGGGGAGAGGAGTGCTCTGAGTCCGGGGGAGAAAGGGAAGGCAGTGCTGGCAGGCAAGTTGTTCTCCAGGCCTCTTGCTATTCCTGGCTACCAGACCCACCACATTGCTCAGTTGGGGCAGAAAGGTGACAGTCCTGACAATGAGGATGCAGAGCTCTGGCAGAGGAATCTGGGGAGACAGCAGTGGTGGGATATACTTAAAGACAAGGAAGCACTGCTTTAGGGGTAGAGCAAGGTTGATCTTTCCCTGATCCCTTCCCAGGTTAATCCTGCTTATGATTCAAATAGTCATTTAAATGGCTAAAGTTATCCAATTCAGGAAAGCACAATGGCTATTATACAAATGGATTCTAAAAAGCATCTGAGTAACACAAGGTCATGCAGATATCCAAGTGATCCTCTATTAACTTAGAGCATTACATGAATTTAAAGGATAAGATCTATTTCAAAAGAATATTGACTTAATCATGGATTTATTTTTTTTTTAAAAACTGCATAAACAAACCTTTCACCAGAAATGCTAGGATACAATCCTAGACTTCTCTTTGGCCTTGAACCACTTCAGATTAATTGGTTTGGAGCCAAAGGAGGTGCATAATATAACATCACAATTTATATTTAGGAAAACTCATTAGAAATGAAAAAGTTATGTAACTCCTCAGAGAAAGCAAAAAAAATATAGGACAAATTACACTGAAACACTGCAGTTAAATTATTTTAACAGCAGGGTAGCTTTAAAAAAAACTGTTAGGACAAAATCCTACATAGCATGGGGAAAGAAAAGCTTTTACATCTTACTGTAATTAGAAACTCATCAGGTTAATGGGGCAATTTTTCAAAAGATGCCATTTAAGTTTTTGCACATGGCCTTGATCTCACTGTATTTCAGTTTGCAAACAGAACTTGTCCAGGGCAAAAATCCCCCAATCAGGCATTTTCTAATGTACATGGAAATTGAAAGCTCTGTATTTTTGTGTCTCTGCTTTTTCATTCAATTTGTACTTGTGACAGAATTCTAAGATTTCACTTTCATTTCAACATCCACTGACTGAAATTGCCAAAACCACCAAGTGGTTTTGGGCTATCTCAGTCTTTAGCAGGGAAACTGAATGGCTTCAAGAAAGCAAAGGGAAGGGAGCCAGCTAGTCAGGACCCACTCTTAATTTGAGCACTTAAAATCTGAGGCATAGGAAATTAATGATCACTTTTGATAAGTTAGGTTGGCACTTTAAGAAGTTGTTCAGTATTTAAATATATGATGAGAAAAAAAGCTGAAATGAGTGGAAAGGGATGCAGCATAATGGGAAAAGTTTTCCAAAACAGCCAAGTGATGGAGGAGCCTACATCTGTAGGATCCCATTTATTGAATATGGCAGTTTTCGTATGTGTCGTTCTGTGGCACCTAAATATGCTTCTTATTTACAAAGCTTTCTAAATGTGGAAGGACAAAGAGAGGGGGATGTACAAAACATCTGCTCACTCCAGATGACTAACAAGTGAAAAATAAGAGGGAGCCTGCAAAGCAAGTCATGAATGAGCCAGCCACCTTTACTGAAAGGATGAATTGTTCCTTTTAAGAAGTAATGAATGATTAGAATTAGGTGCCTGGACTGCAGTAGTTCTCCACTGTGTTGTTTTGTGGGTTTTTTTTTAATAAAGCTTTAAATATGGTACACTGAAAAACAGAACTGGAAACAGCTATGTTACTAAACAGCAAGGTACTGTGCTTACACTATTCGTATTTTTCAGGGTGGGTGGAGCCAGACAAAGAATGGAATGGAATGGAATATTTCAGCTGGAAAGGACCTACAATGATCTAGTTCAACTGCCTCATCACTTCAGGGCTGAGCCAAAGCATGCTGTTAAGAGTGTTGTCCAAATGTCTCTGACAGGCTGACAGGCCTGGGGCATTGGTCACCCCTTTAGGAAGCCTGTTCCAGTGTTTGACCACCCTCTCGGTAAAGAAATGCTTCCTAATGTCCAGTCTAAACCTCACCTGGTGCAGCTTTGAACTTAATTAACTGAGAACAGCCCTGTGGAGAAGGACTTGGGGGTACTGGTGGATGAAAACCTGGACATGAGCCAGCAACATGCTCTCACAGCCCAGAAAGCCAACCGTACCCTGGGCTGCATCATGACAAGTGTGGCCAGCACGTCAAGGGTGGGGATTCTCCCCCTCTACTCCGCTCTCATGAGACCCCACCTGGGGTGCTGTGTTCAGCTCTGGGGCCCCCAACATCAGAACGACACGGACCTGCTCGAATGGGTCCAGAGGAGGCTACAAAGATGGTCTGGATGCTGGAGCACCTCCCCTCTGAGGACAGGCTGAGAGAATTTGGGTTGTTCAGCCTGGAGAAGAGCAGGCTCTGGGGAGACCTTATAGTGGCCTTCCAGTACCTAAATGGGGGTCTACAGGAAAGGTGGGGAGGGATTTTTTTTATCAGGACAGGTAGTGATAGGACAAGAGATAACAGTTTTAAACTGAAAGAGGGTAGATTTAGATTAGATATAAAGAAGACATTCTTTACAGTGAGTGTGGCTGCCCCCTCCCTGGAAGGGTTCAAGGCCAGGGGCTGGGAGCAACCTGGTCTGGGGGAAGGTGTCCCTGCCCATGGCAGGGGGGGTTGGAACTAGATAGTAATCCTTCCAACCCAAACCATTCTATGATTCAATGAAATAGAGTAAGTCAGCGAATGAAGTAAAACTGTGTAACTAATTCACTAACATCAGAAAGGTAATCTTGACTTAAAAATGTATTGCTTTTAACATATAATATTATTAGTTTTACATTCTGGATGGAAAGGCTTTTACAAGCTCAAGTCTTGCCTGTTATTAAGAACCATAAAAGCAAAACCTCATTCGCAGCTTATGTGCACTGCACATCACACTCATTTGTAAGATTAGAGTTTTATCATGGCTTTAAAACAGCAGTTTTTCCTATCCTGGTAACCCACTTTGCATTCCTTTAAGCTGACAATCCATGCAAGAGAAGATAATTTGAAAAATGATGACAAAAAGTTGTAGCAAGCAATATCAGTAGTAACTTCAAAGAAATAGTATTAACCCTGCAGGTTCTGGTTGCCACAAGAATAGTTCCTTGTCTGCTAGCTGAAAAAATTAAAACCAAGACCACCTACATGCAGACAGCACAGACGTTGACTAGTGCAGGAATACCAGTATTTCACAGCAAGAGATATAAGAGATTTTAAAAGAACCTATTTGTAAAATATGCAGCATTGTCACCTCTATATTTGAATTACTTATTTTATGTTACTTTAGGAAATGGCATCTGAGGGCATTAAGCACCATAGATGCTAAGAAATCTAAACCCAGTAGTTATGAATTTTAAATCAATCAAATCTCTAAACATGGTGCACAGTTGAAAAAGAATGAGTCAAAATCAAAAAGCAGTGAAAAAATAGAAAATAAAAACGGCAAGCAAGGAACAATTCCAGAAATACAGAATTCCCACTGAGTGTTAAAGTACACCAGCTGAGGAAAATTGCCACACACTTTCAGGACTCTCCATAAATTTGGTTCTTGAATCAGTGTCTTCAGTCAGAACTGGCAGTAAAGATATCCAGTTGCCTTGTGGGAACAGAAAGGGAGCAAGAACTCCTTGAATGCTCAGCTGAGGGCAAGCTGCAGAGAGCAAATGTTAGATTCGTTTGTCTGGGCGGAATATGGGCAACTGTACCAAGCAGCTTCCAAAAATACTTTATGTCTTCAAAGCACTGGACAAAGATGAACTCACAATTCCCTGCTGAATTTCCCATTATAGACAAAGCTGAATTACAAAGGAAAAGCAAATCAGGCCTGAGGCTTGAGACACAGAAAAGGACAATTTTTCAAGAGTGTTGGGATGGCCAAGTTAATTCACAATAGTAGTAGTAGTTTAGTGTCAATCTCCAGGCTATAATCCCTACAAAGAAGTCCAAAGTGGTGTATTTTAATACCTTCCCAACTGCCTAACTGCATTTTGCTCAGCTGAACTCAATCCAACTGGCTCTTAACAAAAAAATTTGCAGGTAGCCATAAGATCATAAAGCAACAGCTCACTGGACAAAGAGAGGAGCAAGTGGATATTTTTGTGATTTCCCAGTATTCTGTTCTTGTTTTCATCTATCTCCAATTATCATACATAGATGTGAACTACTAGAAAGTCAGAAAGGAGTGTTTCAAAAAGGAGTGTTGCATAAGGAAATAATTTTGCAAACACAAAGAAGTATCTATCACTTCTACTAAAGGAGAATGTCATCCATTCAAAAGCTATCCTACCTGTTCTAGTAGAATAGATCTACTGTGCAGCTATGGATAGTATAAAACACTCCAGAAGTAGCAGCAGCAGGGACTGGTTACCTTCTCCCAACTGCAGGGGAATAACTTTTAATCTGTATAGACATTTTTTCTTAACCTAGATCACATGGAGCTTCAGTAAGACTAGGTCTCTAATACTTGCTTTTGGGGAAAAGTTGTGATCTTAATTTGTAAAGACTTTTAATTATTTTATTTGTCAAGACATTTTTCTAGAGGATCAGCATACTAACTCACAGAATTTCAGAGAAAGTTTAAGCCCATTCAAAACACAATTTCTCCTCAGGCTACAACTGTGTCAGTCAGGGACATGATTTTTTTAAAAAACCCAGTATCATCATGCCCACAGAACACCACAGTGCAATGACAGTTCTGTTTGTATGAAGACATCTCATCCTGATCAAGCTTATTCTTCCTCTCATTTGGGAAAAATTACACTTATGTCAAGCATAAATAATGATATTGACTACAAATGGATAACAAATATGGTTCATGTGTTCTGTCAGTAGTCTAACCGACCCAACATACACTGTTTACACAAACTCTAAAGAAAACCAACATCCAGCTCTGCTGGAAAATGAAGGCCAGCTTTTAAAGATATTTTTACATATGTCTGTGGGTACCTGTATATAGGTAGGTACAGGAGGGTGTCTTTTTGAGGCACCTAAGTGCTTTCACAAATCTAACAAAGAACCTGAATATCATTAACATCCTTGTGCAATGTACATAACTCACTTAGATTACTTAAAGAAAATACAGTTACCAAGACACTACCAGTACCAAAAAATTAAAAATATTTTGAAAGTAATTGTTTTCTACAACATAATTGATTCAACTGTTTTGGCAGAACAGTATTTTAACAGATCTCTTTTACAAAACTGCCTATTAGTAAAGCAATTGACAGTTCTGGTAGAGCTGAATACTTAAAATACTTATGGTAAACAAGCACAGTACTTGTGTTTATCAGCTGCTGTGCACTCAGGAAACATAGAAAGCAATATGCTTTCAAAGAGTAACTAACAGGTAAATAAACACATTTACATTTATTTAAGATTCACTTGGAAAAATACTATTGAAAGGACTTGAAAACGCTATAGCAGTAAAATCCCTACTGAAGCAAGAGGGAGGTGCGCATCCTGTTTCAGTTCAGGCAATCTGCTGTTTTTCTGGCAGTGGCACAGGTAGTAACAACATGGCCATGTCAGTTATAGAGATAACAGCCCTCACCACAAACGCTAAGGCAATGAAATGTAGTCAGGTTGTAAAGCTAAAGTAGTGACAAAGTCATACTGTTTGACTTATAACTCTTCATAGATACCTTTATTGCTGCCAGACCCATAAGTAGGTTTAAAACAAATGGTAGTGTTTGATCTGCATCTATTACTAACCTGTACAGACAAAATCACAAAGCCAAATGCTGCAACTTCATATCAAGACATCCTTGGAAATTACATGTAAGGACCAAAATCCATACTTTTCCCTTTACTATTAGATTTTAGGTTTTATATATATTTTTAAGAAAATGATCGCTTACTCTTAAAGGAACTACTTTCAGATTATCTTTTTCTTGATTTTTGACCTATTCTCCTCCCATTTGGTGGCGGGGGGGGGGGGTAGTGGTGGTGATGGTGGTGTGTACAGCTAGGCAATTTCAGTCTTGCAATTTCTAAACACTCCTACTTTAATTATTCTGAACACAGACAATTTCTCACTGTTTATCTTTTGACTGGTTTCTCTGATCTCTGCCCTTTCAGTTTGAATACACACAGCTGTGCAATGCTTTCAGATCCCTGCCATAAGTAGAAGTCAAGACATTTGTTCTGCAGAGAGAATTAGTGGATTAGTGGGAATGACTTCCTAAGTAGGTGAGTTGGCCAGGTGGGCGTCACACAGTCGAAGAATGGCAAAAGGTGGTTACCAGTCAGTTTGAAACAGAGTAGTGTTAAAACTACTTAGCGTGCTGAGCATCCTTTCAGGTTAAATTAAAGAAGTAATTAAGGGCTTCTTTAGAAAATAGCCTCAGGAAACGGCAGGAGGTCCCCGGAGCCCACAGGGCTCTGCCATGGGGTCAGAGCACTGCTGCAGGAGTGCTCGGGAGCTGCCTTGCCTTGTATAACCACCTGCAGCAAGAGGAACCCTTGGAAAGTATTAAGGCTTTGGGGCAAGAGCACGTGTCCACAAAACACACGGTGATAGAGCACATTATAAAACTAATGACACCTGCATCACACATCACAATACCCCCAGGACTGAAGCACAGACCTGTTCTGGCTGTTGTTGGCAGTGCTATCCCCAGCTCCGTGCCGGAGGTATGCCTAAAGGTAAGAAATTATTTCCTTACAGTTTGCTAAGGATGCAGAGAGCAAACCAGTTACCGTGTTGTCGCTTCCTACCGTAAAGGCATGAGGTTTATCCCTACCGATAAAGCCACGGCCTGGTTACCTGGGCGGTGCGGTGAGGAGCTCTCGGCCGCGTAACTGGCTCCAGGTTCCGCCACCGGGACGGTCCCTTTGTAACTCGGGCTTTCACTGCCACCCGGTGGACAAGCGGGTTTACACCGCGGAGTTACTCTGAATCCGACCTACTACGTCGCGGTGCTCTATCAGAGACACATTCGGCCCAGTGGATTTACAGGAGAAAACAAATCGCTTAACCTTGATTCACGGAGGAATAGGGGAGAGATGAACGAACGTGTTACTTGATACAAACCCCACATTCAAAAATCTTGTGGGTATGCCCTGAGGCATCACGAATGTGACTTGCAGATGGCTACAAATATTTGAAATGCTTTTTGTCTTACGATTTCTAGGCACTTACAATGTCAGGCTTTTCTTGCAACACCGAGGGCTAACTCCTCTTAATGTTAGGTTTTACCTAATCACATCTTTGGAGGGAAGAACTTTTGAGAACAGCAAATAGCACAAATCTTATAATGAAGCTGCTGACTAGTGGCAATAATGGCAGTTGACAAAGCTTCCCTGTTTAAAACAAAACTTTCTGAAATGATAACTCTTTGATTCCACTACAGCCAGGTTACTAACAAAGATAAAATGGTATATGCAGGATAGTTGGAGCACTCAAGGTGCTCATCCGTATTGCAGACCACATATGAGAGCATTCATCAGAAAAACATTACAGAGTATCATTTTATGTCTTAGACTTTGATTATTATTTAATATTTTGTCACACTAAGGTTCTCCTAAGCACTTAAAAAATACAAAGGGATATAACATTAAAGCAACAAGAAAGAAAAGCGGAAGTTCCAGATGAAAACACAAAGTGGAAGCACATGGCTCATAAATCCTGTTTGTATAACACTTGCATTAGGACTTCTGTCAAAAGCATCCTTTAGGATTATCACTTCTTGGCCTTGGAAAAATCAAAACTAACTTGGCCCTAGGCATTTAAAGGCCACATTTTATTTGAGAAATAAGAGAAAGTTCTTTCCAGCTGGGCACAATCAGCATTCCTGGTTTTGCCATGTGCCAATGTAACCATTTGGATCTGGAGCTCAAAAACTTGTATCCCTGACAAATACTAGAATTACCAGAAGAGTAACTTACTAGCCAGTGGGAGAAAACCAAAATACACTTTTCTTCCTGTTTGACTTGTTACTGGATGGTTCCAAAGGCCTTCCAGACACCTAGTGAAGATCCTTGGTGCCCTAAGGCCCCAGCAGGCATCCTTCTGACAAAGGAAAGAAGAGAAAAGCAGAAAAGCTTTTAAGATAAAAATCTTTTTTGGTCAATGTCCTTTTTTTCTGGTAGCTCTGAAACTTATGATAACAAGACTACTAATTTATCAGGCTCCATCATTATGTTCTCCATTTCAGGCTGTAAAATAACTGTTCTGAAGCAAACATGATGTAATCTAACCTACTTTACTGTAATAGCAGCTGAACAAAGCTTTGACAGTGATTTTTTTTTTTTTTTTGTATGTTCAATTCCTGAACTCAAACTGAAGTTTGAGCTTGAGATGATGCAGACTACAATGACTGAAATCAAAGGAAACATTCATATGAATCTTAATGAAGTAAAATTCTCAAGCTTCAGGCAACTTCAAGCCTTCTGCATGTCAGACAGAAGATCTGCATTACATGAGAACTTGATGTAACGTTATGATACTCTCACAAATACAAAAGGTTGTATTTTCCAGTAGCTGATTCCCCTGTGACCCAGCTTTTAAAATCATGATTACGAAGGTTTGGGGAAGTGAAGAGAGTGTATGGAAAAACAGTGCAAATTGTTTGCTTAACAGCATTTGCTTTTAGAGCACGTCCAGAAGTGTTAAAAATATGCTTCAGATGACAGGAGTGATTCATGACTAGACAGCTGCTGAGAGAGACATCACCGACAGGAGAGAGAGGGAGAGTGTGTGTGTGAGAGAAGGAGAGATATTTGACATGCAAATTACTTGGAGAAAAAGAAATTAAATACCTTTTCTTCTGAGCTTTAGAATTTAGGAATGATTTTAATGACTTTTGAATTGAACCAAAGTTGTATCTCCTGAAGCTGTCAGAACTTCAGCACCCCTCAGATCTGTTTCACAGGCTGCAGTCGTTACTCAGCTGATGTGACGACTGTCTGCTGTCTCTTTCTAGGTAGGAAAAAGCAATATTCTTTTGTCCATTTGGTGTTTTACAATATTAAGAGTCTGCTGAATTTCCTGTCAAGCCCTAACTTCATAAATAATGCAATTCTTCCATAGGTGTCAGTCTTTAGACAAAACGTTTAATAAAGCTGGTTGGAAGTAAGTCCCCACCCAACAAGTAGAAGGGATATTTTCCTCATTCTGGATCCATAGAACAAATTCAGAAAGTGATTGATTGAAATCCAAATCTGAAACTAATGCCTAAGCCACTTAACAACTGAGCTTGAACTTTGATGTTCTAATGATCTCTGACATTCCCCACCTAAAAAATATCGTGGCAGATGGTCTACACCTACAGTCCCACTGCTTTTCCCTATCCATTTAGCATGGATCTGGTAGCACAGCCCTCACTCTGTGGACCCAGGACTTTACTGTACTAGCCTACCTCTAAACAGCAACCTTCATTGATTTCCTGCTTTGATAGTGCTAATTTCAAATATACTTACAGTGGTCTGATGTTCCCTGGAAGCCCAAGTTTAAATTTCGGTGTTTGTCAAAACTAGTCAGCTTTAATCTTGGCCTCTTCATGACTCCATGTATACACGCCTCCTGGATGATTTAATGCTTATGGTTGTTCTGTACAGCTTTTCCCTAAAATACTGTGCCTGGCAAGTGAAAATGCAGAGGGCCTTTATTCTGAAGTGGAAATAAAACACAGTAAAATCAGCTAGAACTCTCTGTACCTAAATTTACAAATTTTCAGCCACTTCTAAAATAAGCATGTCATACATTCATATATTTGCATTGAAAAAGCTAAGCTGATTTTAGAAAACCAATATGATTAAATCATAGGCAATTTGTGTCGACCACCCCCTTTTTAGAAGAGGCTTTTTTAGCTTGCTTTGTTTCACCAGAATACAGATTATCTATTTGAAATACATGAATTGAATGGACTTCCCATTGAGGTTAGTGTATTCTAGTGTTGTAATAAAGGTTATGAAAAGATGTCCGAGCACCAGCTGGCCTTCCTTTGATCCTCTCCATTCTTGTGATGATACATTTTCACACTTAAGATGATTCCCTTCTACCTCAAAGGCTGAGAGCTGCTTTGGTCCTTACAAATATTAACTGCAATCACAATGACCTATCTTTCTGGTTCCAGTCATCTGTTTAATATAGAGTAGAAGGTCAGAACTACACTAAAAGGGCCTGAAAGGCTTTATTTCAGAATACTGCCTCCTGCAGAGCTTCACAAAAAGCTGGCAGACTTGTAGTTCATGCATGCACGCTCCTCAGCACTGCATTGTGCCGTTGTATTAATGGGCTTTTGTAACCTTCCAGGAAAAATTCCCTCACCAAGAGAACAAAACTGCTGTCAGATCTGAACGCACATGTGAATATCAACTACAAAAAAAAAAAAAAAAATTATATTTAAACAGTAGGGGTACTGTGTTCAGAAAAAAGAATGTCTGAGTCACTAGCTTGTGTCTTCACCAGGCTGTGTTTTAAAGGTAATTTTTATCTGTTTGCTAGGACGGAGATTTAATAAGAGAGATGGAAACCAACTGTTTAGAGAAGGCAAATTCAATAATAGATGTCAGTAAGGATTAATGAATAACGCTGTGGACCAGAAAGCACAAGCCTGTGTGTACCAATACAAAGAAATCTATTTGCAGCACAGTGGAGCACAGGTCACTTTGAAGTCATTAGCATACTGAATTACCAAATAGCTGCATCTAAGGCCCTTCAGTTGTCATTAGAACGCATTTCCCAAGCTATCACATTTGCCTCCTTCAAATCTGCCTGTAAAGCTCACGTTTTCTTGCTTTCTATTGTCTTCTGCACAAGCAGGACCATCTACATTTCTTGCCATGTTTGCTTTATTTATCACTTCTGAAGCAAGTTCTTTAGCAAGAAAGCTAAATACCCCAAATCCCAGCACACACTCCAAAACATGGAGACTGGAGATTTTTATAGTTTTACAACTGTGTGGGACTCTGTTTACCTATATGCCTCTACATTTTTCCTCACCGAGCTTGAATATGTTAATGTCTGGACTGGATTATCAGGGGTGGGTAAGTGGCATGAAGTGAGCAGCAAGAATTGAATACAGCTGTCCACGTATGAATGGAGCTACCCACAGTGGGGAAGACAATGAAAGGAAAGAAAAAAGTGGATTCCAGAAGCAAATGGCCTATGGGCCAGTTCCACTTGCTTCACACTGATTTTGTTTTAAATTTGGCTTGCTCTTGTATATGCCACTTAGATGTTTTGGGAAGGCTTCATGTATAGCAATTACTTCCCTATAAAATTATCAACAGGAGTTTAAGCCTACTTGGACTAGCTGAAGAAGCCATGGAAACAAAGCAGAAGTGCTCCGTTCTAAAGCCCGATCTCCAAAATCAAGAAACTGCAAAACATCTAGTAGGCCAGATTTAAAAGAGTATGAAATAGTCTCAGACCAGGAAACCACTATATGTGCTCGATGGCAACAGGTTATAACCAAGAGGTAAGTCCTTCCTACTGAAGTCCTCCTTCCTTATACAACTTTTCATTTTCAGTTCTAACTAGACTAGATTGTAAGTCTCAAGATAAGCAGAGGATTTTTTTTGGAAGGGGAGTTATTTGAACTTAGACTTAATTATATGATTTATCATTTTTGTGTGTACACAGAGAAAACATATCCATATAAAAATGGCAGGTTAAATTTTGTATAGGTTTAATGCACTTAAATCATCCAAAAAACAAAGTAATGCCTTCAAAAGCTTAAATGCTACTATAATTTACTTTTTTTCTGTTGTCAAATGACAGAGATATACTCTGCACTGAATAAACCCAAATTAAGCCCTGAGAAGTTACCTGCATCTTCTGGAAACAAAAGTGATTCAAGTTTGCAAGATGAACTGAACAGCAGCTCTGCACTGCAGGATAGTTATTCTAATAAATAACAATTAGCAGTCCTTCGATTTTACTATGACAGTTTGGTTAACTTTTTTTTTTTTTTAATAGCATGCCATTTACATCAATTATAATGGCACTTTAGCAGTGCCTGCTACTAGCCAATTGACTGATGCTTATTCATACCCCTCAACATGCTGGCTATGGATATTTATGAGCAATAGCTATGGCTGGGCATCTGCTGCTTGTGAAATACTATTGGCTTAATAATTATGTCACGGTTTCCACCTGTTCTTCAAAGTCATGGGGTAGCTGCTGTTTTTCAACTCTGCCAGCTTTATGGCAGCATTAGGACTATCAGCCCCTATTTCCTATTCCCGGTCAAACATCCTCTTCATTATGGACCTACAGGTTGGCATAGAAAATTCTTAGGATACAGAAAAAGATCCTCCTTCAAGGTAATTTTCTAGAGAGGTCTCACTGAGAAAAGCTCAGACAATACTAAATTGGCATGACATACCATATTAAATTTTGGAAACACAAAAGCAAAATAAATCTTCTTGCAGTCAGGCAGTGATATTCTCACTGCAAAGTGGCTGCAGGGATGGGGCTTAATCCTAAACTTCTTACTCCATACATAAAAACTAATTCTCTTCCATCTGACTCCATCCATCTACTCGTCTTTTGAATGTTCCCTCTTGCTCAGCTTCTCCTTCAAGCCAGCTAGAAATAACAGCTCTCAGTGCTCCTGCCCTGTGCTGCAACTCCTCCTTTTTCTGATTCCAGCTGCGCAAACTCAGATGGACTGCTTTCTCCTACCAGTGTTTTCTCCACTTCCTTCTCAAAGATGCCACACTGCAACATGATGTTTTATCAAACTCCACAAACTGCAGTGTTCACAGTCTGCTAGCAGGTTTGAGAACCTCATGTTATTGGTGTGAAACACTCTCACAGGAAGAAATTCTGCCAAGCAAGAGAATTATCCGTAGTGCAACATGGCTGTCCTTGGCACAAAGCACTTGATGCCTAGCAATCTAATCTATGTGCTTACAAGCATCTCAAGATGCTACTTCAAGACAGTCTTCAGCAATAACACATTCCTCCAAAACAAAGTGTACAGATTTCCATTAGCCTGTTAGAAGAGCACAAAGGTTGCAACATAGTCTATTTTAAACTTATCCTGTACCGACTCCACCAAAATACAACAGAGAAAACAAAACCATTGCAGAAAGAGAGGCAACTAAAAAGTTAGGAGGTTCACAAATTGCAGATTCGTCCTTTCCAAACAACGTAATCCCCATGGGAAGAGAATCACATTTTTATTTTCTCTTGGGATAAGTAAATCTAAAAATAGTTTCAGACAAGGAGAAAGCCACAGAGCTAGTGACTAGCAGATACCCACACTTTGCCTCAGGCACTAAGTGCAAGGAAAGTGGAGTGAGAGCGAGCATGAGCACATGTGGTCAGGGACACAACCATAATACATGGATTGCTGAATAGCATGTGGATCATTTCCACAACAATCTGAAGTGTTCACCAGCAAATAAGGTAAAAGAAAATGAATGAGAGGAGTTGAGGGTTCAAATATACAAAGTGTTCCCTGCTTAATCCTGTGTGGGACTGTGTTGTGCTAGCCTACATGCTATTTTTAAAATTACGCACCGCAAAGGCTTCTTTGTTTTGACTTCACTGGCTACAAAAATAGAGATGCTTTAGAGTTTCCTAGTATATGTACACTACAAGAAAAGAAAGGTGAAAAAAATACCCAATTTGCTCTCCAGCGCATGTGGATTTTTAATTTTTTAACCGGTTTGTTATTGTAGTGAAAAAAAGTTTTTTATAACATTAAATGATGATTGACAGAGATTTGTATATTCTAAGACTTACACACACAGTATAACGTTCTACTCCTTTTGTTTTAAGGAGTGCTAGTCTCTGGCCAGCAATATTATCCTTCTCATTTCAACTTAGGTTGAAAGCAGTTAAAAACAGGGAGGTACAGGGCCCAACTCAAGGAAAGGAAGCCACAATATGCAATGCATGGTGTTAACACAGTAAGAAAGTGAACAGCTAGCTTTGAATTCCTAGGGAGCGGGGGAGAAAGTGGTGAGCACTTTAAAAATATGAAAAATCCTGTATTCTCCAGGCTCTGAACTTCCACAGAATGCAAGCGGTGGACTATAAGTCACCTGTGGCCTACATTCCCATTCTGGCAAAACTAATTCTTGTTCTGCCAAGAATCAGACAACCATAGAAGATTTGAATCTTTGTGCTTTAGTGGGATACCAGTGACTATATATTTTCTAATACCAGGAAAATGTGACATTACATATTAATTACTAGACAGTTCCAGCTATTAGTTTTACACGATTTTTTCAGCAGAGGAACTTCAGTGTTATTAAAACAGTGGTGATACTAGATCTTGTTAGCTGTTGCAAAATACAGAAAACACAGAAATCTACTTCTCAGCCTACACCGAGACTCCTTATAGGAAATAAGAAATATGTACTTCAAACAGACTTTCCAGCCTGTGAATGAACTTCAGGAAAAAGGTCAGTACAAGGATATTTTCATTTCAGAAACTATAGTATCTAAGGAATGTTTTAGCATAAGGCTTGACAACACATTGCTAGAACTTTTTGATGGTTTGGAAAAAGTTAGGCCAGTAAAACTCATGTGAGTGTAGCAAGTAGTTTGAAATGCAGCAACAGACCTATACTGAAAATTAATGCAACCATTCAAAGCACCAAAGCAGAAAACAGACTCTAAGCAAATTTCCTAACCTGTACCAGTCTATTCAGTCCATTAATTAGCCAATATTGTACACTAAATCACTGAAATGCAAGACAAGCTACTGATGTACTGATTGCACTTATGTTATAGAGCAGCTCCTTCTTGCAGTGGTATCCCTCTTAGCATTGTAAAGATACCTAGAATAAATGGAATTTATGTTATTGAAATTATTTCATAAAAAGATGAAACACATTGAGCAATTAAGATACAATGTAAAACAACTTCCCTTTATTTGTATTTTCTGATCTTGGTCTTCATTGTACAAATAATCTGCTGTGCAAAATAGTTTATAAAATACTAAAAAAAGCTTTTATTGTAAAAAAATAAAGTTTCTAGATATACAGTTACTTTGCACTATCACAAATACTGTCCAGTATTTAACATTTAAATTTAGTATTACAAAACTCAAGTCATGTAAACCAATGATCCTACTGGTAAGTAAGCCACTACTGAAATTCAGGTTCACTAGGGATTTGTTATGTATTTTCCTCTTTTCATATCTACACCCTTACACAACTCTGACAACCCATACTTGGAATTGCACCCATATAATGAAATTAGGCATTGGGCCATCCTTTCCTCTGTTATCAGGTAAAAAATACCAAGTTAAATGATAAATTCAGTAAATGGCAAATTTCAGTAAATTATGGCAACACATGAGATACACAGTGCAGTCACAGAACAACAAAGGTCCCCAAAACTAGATTTGAACT